ACTTCTGTAGTCATCATGCTGCATATCCTGTGTTAGTGCCAATATCTGACAGAGTGGTGTCAGTGTCCTGAGATGGCACCTGATGATGCAGAAATGGCATTTTTTGCACAAGCAATAGGCTGTATGTTAATGAAATCCTGTTACATTCAGCTACTAATGTGGTGGAACTTGTAATATCTCATGCTTGGAGACTTTGGTCTTCTGTCAGCGCTTTCTAGCACTAAATAGATTTTAGTTTCACCCCAGGGTTCTCACAAAGCAGTGTGGCTCTTTGATTAGGAGAAAATGTGTTCCCTGACGTGCACACTTGTTGGTACCCAGTTTAGGAGACCATGTCCCACAGTTCTGAGTTATTCTGGCTCTTCTGCTCATGATATCTTTGGCTAGTTGTGGAGCCAGCCATGGTCTCAGCTCTGCAGGATCCGCTGTGTGTGGCAGGAGCTGAGGGACTCACCCAGGCCATGAGGCCATGAGTAAGGGCCACGTGTCACAGGGGGTTTTTGGGTCACCTATAGAGGCATGAGCAAAACCAGCAAATGCATATCATAGACACCTAAAGTTACTCTTGAATTCTTTTTCCTCCACAGAGCTCAACAAAAACCCAGTGGAAGGCTTTTCAGCAGGCTTGATAGATGACAATGACCTTTATCGATGGGAAGTCCTTATTATTGGTCCTCCAGACACACTATAGTAAGTACTAATACTTACACAGAAAATGAACTTTGGCTTTACTAGTTCTTGTTTGGTCTAAATGAATAGAAGTTAACCTAAATCTTGTTGCTATGTTAGGTAATGCTGTTCTGTTGCTAGTAAAATACCTGTGAATAGCTGGATTTGCTATATAGATCTAAACTGCTTTGCTCCTCTGGGAAAAGGCAACACTAATCCCTTTGTACCTGTATAGAAAAGAGAAAGAATAGGCATACTTAGACTCAGCTTCTGTTTTCTTACACCTTTAAGTAAGGCAGATATAATCCACTATTTGCTGTTACTGCTGTGAGGCTGCAGTTCTTTACAACTTCATGCTGGTGATTGTAGCAAAATCTCCTAGTGGAGTGTAGCTGGGGGAGACTGCAGCAGACCATGGAGTTAGCTTCAAGTCCTGTCAGTTTAAGATGGGAGAACCCTCTTGGTGTGAGCTAAGAGTACTTCAGGGTGACCATCTGCTCCAGTTTCTGGGAAAAGATTCTGTGCCCAGAAGAGGTCAGTTTAAAGTGTGCTCCTGAAGATGAACTCTGTTCTCCTTCATTAAGCTGTTGTGGTGGTAAATGACTGATACAAAAAGCCTAGTGACATTTACTTGAGGTCAGTTTTGGCTCCAGCACAAAGTTGTATACCTCTGTCTGCAGACTTCTGAATAAGCACTTAAGCCCAGGAATCAAATTGCTTTGCTTTTCCTCAAGCTCCATTGCAATTCTCATGTCTTGCATGAGATTGCTCCAACTCCTGTTGACCTTTTCTGAACAGACTTGTAGTGGTTCTGTTACATTCTCATGGCCATTTTATAAGTACTGGCAGTAAAGAAATGCTGCTTCTAATTGAACAGCATCTTAGGGGGTTAAAATTGCAATAGGTGGTTTTTTTTTTTCCCATTCACTTCTGGGTCTTTTTAGATGAGAAGCTCTCTTCTGTTCCAGTCCCTACTTGCTGCTTTTCAGGCTAGTATTACACTGAATCTCTCCCTGGGCTGCTGATGACAATGGAACATAATTTAACCAGGTGGTTCAAAATCTTCAAGCTTTAGTCTCATTCCTGGTCCCACTTTATTTATTCTGAGTTTACTTAATATTACTTTAGACTCAGTGAATTACTCTACTGACAAGAAACCCTTTTACCAAGAGTATTGGTAAAAATGAGACTGATCTCCCTTAACTGACAGCTGTACTTCATCAACTGATCCCTAATGTGTATCCAATATAAGAGCTGTATTTATATGCAGCTGATATGGGGCAACCAGGGATGCCATACAGCCTGCTAGCTTTAGGATCTGCTGCTTTAAGAAGGGAAAGAAGGATTTTTTTCACTTTGAAAGAAAGGATTTAACTGCTTTGGAGCTATCAACAAATGTAATCTAACCCTCCCTTGTTTGGACTAGTATAGATGTTCAAATAACCCATGTTTCTGGGATTCTTAACCTTCCCAGGCTGAAGGATTCTTTGGAAACTGCCTAAAATTTGTGAAAAATGAATGCTGTGGGTTCACATCTCCTCAGCTGCTTTAAGAGCCAAATCACTTAGATCTTAGTGCTTTTTGGGGGTTGAGTTGTTGGGTTTTTTTCCAGACACTTGCTGGAATTGCACATCTTTGGTTAGTGGTGGTAAAACTTGTTATTCTCTCAGTAGTCTGTGGGCTCTGGAGCCTGACTCCTGCTCCTGTACAAATACAGGAAAACACTGCACTGAATAGTTTTCTACAGCACTTCTTTTGCCTGTGTGGCTGCTGAGGAGTAGCTTGTCACACTGCACATCTTGTGCCACCTTCTGTGGATGTTTGTTCCACTTCTTGTCATCTCTGCCTCTGCAATTCCAAATTTTGTTATAAACTTCAGTTAGAAGAAATGACAGTAACAAAGCAAATCTCGTAGTGCTTACATTAGCAAAGTATTCCATCTATAAACCTTCCCATCCACTACAGGCCCTCCCATTTGTCAAAAGGGACTATTCCTGGCTTGTAACTCCACATTAAAACTGGATGTCTCTTGTTTATTGTTGTTTTCCAGTTGAGTGGGTGACTGTAATGCAGGATACCTCACTGTCATGTCAGAGGCCCTTTAGCTTAGTGTTGAAAAGGTGGTGCTGGAAGCAGTTTGACATCTAATGCTGTAGACAGAGCTGAAGCTCTCTGTAACTGCTGCAGAATGATCCATGAAATCAGGACTCAGGTCAGGAAAATGGGTGTCTGCTGGGCTGCACTTGAGAAGGGCAGTTATTGGCACTGTCTTTTTTTTTTTTCTTTCCCCTGTTAATAAATGTAATGGGAGGGAAAATATAAGTTATGATTCCAGATGGTGAATTCCTTGGCAGTGTTTTGATATCTTTTTGTGTGTGTGGTTTTTCCCCTCTGGAACATCATCCTAGTTCTAAAAAAGATCAGTGCTGGGGAACTGGCAGTATCTTGTGAAAGGATCATCTCAATCTAGAAACTCTGCATTGCATATGGAAGTGTTGGTACTGTTAATTACCAACACAATGTTGTGTGAGGGGCAAACTTTAGAGCTTTTGCTACATCAGTAAGTTCCAATCTTCAGCTTAAGCTTACAAGAAACTCTACTGAGATATTTTTGATTCCCCAGTGAAGGTGGTGTTTTCAAGGCTCATCTTACTTTTCCAAAAGACTACCCACTGAGGCCGCCAAAAATGAAATTCATCACCGAGATTTGGCATCCAAACGGTAAGAAATGTCACAGCTTCGATTTCCTTTTGCAGTTAAGCACTAAAATGCAGTGAAGACAAAGTGAAGAAGTAATAACCAAGGCAGAGTTTTTAATAGTGCTGCTCTGAGAGCATAAAATACTCCTCAGGTATGAAAGTAGCTTCTTGAATTCTTGGTAACTGTTCAGGGACTTTTTTTTCCTTAATTTTTTTCCTAAGTGCAAAAATTCTGGTCTGAGGAGAAACTTGACTTCTATAGCTGCCTTTTGTTATACCTTCACGTATTTCATCTTGGTATTACTGACTTGGCAGCTCAGTCTAGAAGGCCCAAGGTTGTCCTCCTCCAGTGAAGCATGAAGGGAAATCACAGCATCTTAGTCCCCCCAAAGGAGACTCCTCCTAATGACTCATTTACTTATGGGCTGCTGGACATAGATGGGAAGGTAAAATAAAATGGAAGGAGGGTTTACTGGGAAGGAGGAATGCTCTGCCACTTCAGAAGTGTAGATGTTGAAAGCTGGGAGGAGACCAGCACAGTGTTCCCATCATAAGGAACGGGGAATATTTTCATGCTGTGTCAGTTTGAGCTCTGGAAATACCACAGTACTTGTCAGGCACTTTCTAATTCCAGCAGTTTAAATCATATTTCAGTATGTTCCAGTAATACCCAGCTGATGCTGTTGCTGTGGAAAAATATCACTCTCTGGTTTGCTGAAGTTAACAGAAAAAGCTGTGGTGGAAACCTGTCTAAATAGTCCTGAGAGCTGCAGCATGATGGTAGCATTAAGTTCTTTCTCCCCCTGTGCCCTCTCTGCCAGAAGTGTAGGCTTATCAACAGACTTCCACCAAGCCTGGGATAGATTGAGCTCTGTAATGGTTAATTACTTTTCTTTTTTATGAAATATCTTCACTAACATGTTTCAGAGTAGCTGGAGAGCAGCTGAACAGTTCCATGACTATCCTGAAGGAATGCCAATGTCCTGTTCATGACTGAAGTATGCCTTGTTCTGTCTTGTAGTGGACAAGAACGGTGATGTCTGCATTTCAATTCTTCATGAGCCTGGAGAAGACAAATATGGCTATGAAAAGCCTGAGGAGCGTTGGCTTCCCATTCACACTGTGGAAACCATCATGATTAGTGTTATTTCTATGCTGGCAGATCCCAATGGTGATTCTCCTGCTAACGTGGATGCAGCGGTAAGGCTTGGCTTGGCTTCACACTTCCAGAGTATGTTAAGGGGTTGGAATGGAGCTTAGAGATCTCCCACCAGAGCAGGTTGCTCAAGGCTTCATCTAACCTGGCTGTGAACACTGCCAGGGTTGGGGCAGCCACAGCCTCCCTGGGCAACCTGTGCCAGTGTCTCACCACCCTCACAGGAAAAACTTCTTCCTGATACCGAATCTAAATTTCCCTCTTTTAATATCTCCCCATTCCCCCTTGTCCTGTCCCTGCAGTTCCTAACCCAGAGTCCTTCTCCAGCTTCCCCAGAGCCCCTTCAGGCACTGGAAGGTTGCTATTCTTGGTTCTGCCAGTTGTCTTCAATATAGAAACTTGAACTTGCAATAGAGTTGTGCTTGTAGTTTGATAAACAATACAGTGACTCTAGAAATAACCTTGTATCATAGGCTAGGGTACTTTTTTGTTTGGAAAAGCAGTGATGTTGTGGAACAGAATTAGTAGTGAGCCCTGGGAAGCTTCCTACACCTCTACAGCAGTGCTCAGGCATTACAGCAGTAGGTTTGAGGAGGTTTGTGCTCTCATTAAAGCTTCACCAAGGACTCATGCCTTCAGCTGGAGCAAGGGTTGTCCCAGACTAGACTGGTTAAAAGTGAGGAAGAATGGTGTGACTTATGGGCCTAGACCAGGGTGAATCTGCAGTTGTGAGATGGAAGTGCTTGATGCAGCACAGTGTTTCTGGAGCATGCCCTGTGCTGTGTGGGTGTATCAACACAGCTATCAGCTCCTACAGGAGCTGCTTTTATAGCAGAATAACAATTAGGCTGATCACTGTTTGTGGTGGGGAGGGGGAAGTCTCAATTCTGGAAGGGTGTAAGGAAACAAGCTTCAGGCCTCATTCATCTGAGATACACCAACATGCTTTGCTTTGAATCCCTCTTGAATTGCAGTCGAGCAGTGACTAATGAGTGCTGTCCTCTCACAAAAGAAGTTCCAGGTCTTTTAACTATGGGAGTGAGGAGAAGGGAGATGGGACTTGGAAGATGCAAAGCTTTCTGGAGGAATGTTAACCTGCTCTGTCAGCCTAGCTGTACCTTCCCAAAGTGGGTGGCAGTTCAGTGGTTTCCTGCAGCCTTTGATGTGCTATGCTGTTAGTATTTCCAAAGGTGGTTGAGCTCTGCTGAAAAACGGGAACAGACTCATGTGGAACAAATTTCATGGGAAAAACCCAGAAAACAAACACAAAGTTGTAGTGAACAGTTTCCTCATTTAACGTTTTGAATGTTGGACCTTCCCTCCTTGTGTCCTGTTACTGGTGGAAACAGATACCCAGGAGCCATGGGCATTTTCTGCTGGCAAACCTGAGAGCACTGAATGAAGCAAGTTATTAATGAAATGCTAAAAGTGCAATTAGAATTCCTCAGCTCACAAACTCATGTTTGTTGAATGTGGCTGACCTAGCACTGCAGAAAGCTTATGCTTTTAGCTGTGCTTGGCACCTTCCTGACATCACAGGCTTTTAAATCTTGTTGCATTGTGTCTCACTCTGCTACTTCAGGTGTGATAGTTTATGTTGTCCTCAGAGATGTTACATAGAAAACTATGAATTTGTTTACCTAAACATTAGGATAAAGGTTGAAAATTAAAACATTTTCAGCCCAGATTGAAAGAACCAAAACTTAAATCCAAATCTGACTGTGAAGACAGTAGTAGAGCATTGCTTGGGATGCTAGAAACTATTTTTCTGACTGTAGTATTAGGTATTTCAAGTAACTTTTAAACTTAATGTGCTGCTTGAGCAGCTTGGCATCTCCTGCTGAGTTGTAGATATCTTCATATTAACCAGAACATACTCATGAAGGTAATGAAGAATCAGCAGCTCCTGTGTTTACTGCTGTAATAATGTTTGGCAGTTACTAAGGGATACTTTGTCTGCTTTCATTAACTTCTAGTTTTCAGTGAGCCCAGAGAATAAGATGTCATAGGCAGTTCACTGCATTATAGGAGAGAGGATATACCTGCTTCCTGGAAAAATGAACTGTGCATGTCAGAGTTGTGTCTCTTGGATTGGGAGAAAAATGAGGAACAGGAACCTGGATAATATTTTGAAAAGCAAGTAAACACTTCATGACCTAAAGTAAAATATTGGGTTTTTTTAGAGATATACCTGTCAAATTGGGAACTTTGCATCTCAACACTTACATCATAGGGCTACAAGTGTAAAAAGGAGAAACAAAAACTCAGACTCTGAAGCTGGGAGGGCACAAACTCAATGCTTTTCTTGGCCTTAAGCCATCTTGTGTAAGCTGTCCTGTGTCCCAATCCAAGGAACCAAATTCTTGCTGCATGAATTGCTGAAAAAGAACAAATTAATTAGTAGCCTTATTTGTGCTTTCACTGCAAAGTTAAGACCTGTTGGGCTTTTCAACATGCTGATTGATTGAGTGAGCTTAGAGGTGGTGAATATGCCACTCAAATGTACCACAGCCTTCCCTCCAGGTAGGGGTGAGAAGGTGTGGACTAGGTTGCATCAAGTAAAAAAGTGTGGGGGGTTTTAACCCCTTCCCTTCCCCCTGCAGTAAGAATATATTGCTTATCTCCAAAACTAAGAACTGTAGAACTTCATGAAATATAGGATTCCTCATGTTTTCCCAGCACTTCTGACTGTGAGGTAGTACCCAACACCATCAGTCTTAGCCACCTCTGCTCCTGTGCTTTCATCTGAGCTCCTCAGGAGCCTGGCACAAACCACTCAAAACTGGCTGCACTTTTCCCTGGAGGTTTTTGTGCTACCTTGACGTGTGCATTTCTGGGTTCAGGCTTACCTCTTCCCCATCTTCCTGTTCATCCTTATCTTTGCTCTTCATCTATGCAGTGCTGAAATCAGATACCTGTCCCAGAGATCAGCCCCTGGTTAGGTCTTTCTCACAGAGCCAGTATCTTGCAGCCATATCTAACTAGGTGTTTGCTTTCTAAGGACACTGCTGTGCCTCTTCTGCATACTGTGACTTCTGTATTTCTCTCCTGGAGTGTCCTGGCTAGATTGAAACTGTCCTTAAAAACCTTAAAACCACTGGCTCCACAGTACCTGAGTACCTTTTTCACCACTGCAGCTAAAGACATTATCTCTAACCCAGAACAATAGGTCCTGGTCTAGTTTGGGTTTGCTGCTGCTTTGCAGGCTGAAGTAAATAGATTTTAGCATATCCATTGTGGAATACTGGTAGCCACTGGATTAGTCTTGGAGAAATGCCTAAAAAGCAAGGGGAAAAGGCTACATCCTCACTGTCTTGTGAACAGGTGGCACAGAAACCCAGAGCAAGCTTTCAAGAGCCCTGAATATCACAGGTTTTCAGTGATTGTAAGCAAATTTAGGTGTTGACTAGATATCTGAAAACATAAACCACCAAGAGTCTTTCTAGAGCTTGTACACTGTTTCAGGCCTGACATCTGAAAGCTGTCTGTTCACTTACAGAAAGAATGGAGAGAAGACAGAAATGGAGAATTTAAAAGGAAAGTTGCCCGCTGTGTAAGGAAAAGCCAAGAAACTGCTTTTGAGTGACACTTATTCAGCAGCTAGTAGCTTCACTTTTTTCAGGGTAAGTATCCTTCTCAAGACAAGTCAGTTACTGAGTTGAGGATTTCCTGCATAAGTGTTGCTGAACTATTTTATTTTTTTAAACTCCTCTAAATCAAAAAGAAAACCCCAACCCTTTCATCTCAGCTGCATGGGCTCAGTGGAGCTCTCTGGCTGTATGCAGTGCTAAAGACTACAAGAAGTAAGTGCAGTTAACAGCCCCTTCTGCCAAGATTGGGGAACTTCTCTAGTACTCTTGCATTGATGCTGTCCAGAAGCTGAACTTCTCTTTACCAGAGCTCATCCTGCTTTGTTAATAGTGCTTAGAGGCTGCTGGAGCTGGAATAGAAGGTCTGGTAACTCTTTCATGGTCATTATTGTGAAGAACATTTGTTAAAATCTTAAAAGCATCCTGCTTGCTGTCTCAAGAGCTGCAGTTTATCTTGCAGATAGTGGTGGCATGTTGCATGTAGGTTTTCCATGAGACTTCAGTGAGGTTGTTGGGAACTACTCAGAAGGATTTGCTTCAGGTGTCTGTGAGCATTTTAATAGGAAAGTCCACTAGCACGTCAGAAAGGATCAAGTTTGAGATATTACCCATCAATAATATCAAGAAAGGTGATGTCTGTCTTCTTCAGCAGCCTATAAAAAAAACCCCAGAGCTTTTTTACTGAGGAAGGCTTGGGAAGCTTCAGGCAAACAGTTGTTCTGCTTGGAAACTGAGCTGTAGCATATCAGAGAGCCTGGACAAGTTTTGACCTGAGAGTAGCTGCTGTGATGTTTGTGCTTTGTGGCAGCCTGTTAAAGAGCTCCTGACTCAAGATACTTAGTGTGATTTGCACATTCTCATCTCAGTTTTAATGGGGCTTCTGTTAATAGCTGTGTAGAAAGCTCTACATTAAAACATGGCCCTTAAGTCCTTGGCCTTTGGTCACTTTGCCTTGGGTATGCCAAGGAAAAACTTCCTCCATGAGCTAATAATTTCCCACTCTTGCTTTTCAAAGCAAAATAGAGTTTCATGTTGAAGCTTAATGGTTGGTTTGGCAAATAAACTGCTCTGACCCATTTGGCTGGAGAAGCCCAAATCCATCTGTACTGGTTACTGCAGCATACATGACTTGCAGGGGCAGAAATATGGCACTGTGTAATTCTGAGGGGCTGAACAACCAGAGCAGCTTGCTAAATGCTGCTGCTAGTTAGCTTTTCTTAGGAGAGAGTTCCTTTCTTACCCTTTTGTAAGTGCTGTGGGGGCTGGGGGAGGCTCCTCCTGTGACAAACTCATACTGCAGTATCTCTTCCCTGCAGAAATGCTTTGATTGAAGGGAACTTTCTCCAGTATAGAGGGAGCATGAAAAATGCTTAATATTGATCAAAAGGCTAAGCAAAGGAACTGAATGTCTTGTACAACTGCCTATAACTGGAGTGTAAGAATTGTTAATGCAGCTGACTGTTTTTTTCTGTTTTGGAGAAAGGGAGTAACTGTGAGTAATGCTCCAGAGTGTCCTTAACTAACCTCGGCTCTGTTGCCATGTTGAACTTGGCCATAGTGAAACAATGCTCGTGACAAATATTTTAAGCAATTGGCTGTGTTGCTTTTCTGGAAGGCAAAAGCTTTTCTAAGTCGTGGTGACTCCTGAGTGAGTGCTGGGCAGTGAGCTGGGTGAGAAGGGGCTGTGGTTTCAGCCCAGCCCAGTCTGTGTGGCTGTGGTGTTGGTGCTCACTGAGCACTGCCCTTGGCTGCTGCAGCAGCACCCCCAGGCACAGATGTTTCAGTGATAAATCTACAGGGTTCAGCCTTATGTGTGAATAATCAAACCTTCACACACCATGCACTGGAGAAACAGCACAATTAACAGGAGCCTGAAAGTGATAGTTGAGCTGAACAATGTGCTGAACTAACTCCAGTCTTTCTCAGGTGATGAGTTTGGATTTATGCAGCTTCTGTTCAGAGGTATGTAAACTCCTTGAATAAGGCTTGAAACACTAATTAACACCTTGGAATGAACTGAGGGTGCTGAGGGGTTTGTTTAATAGCTGTGATCTCTTTGCAGGTCTCCAATTGAGAAACATGGCACTGTTTTTTTTCCTGCACTCTACCCACCTATTGCTGGACTTCTGTTGTTACAAGTTGGCAAACACTGGCTGGAACTGGGCTGCAATAAAACATGCCAGTTATCAATGCTGACAAGAGCCTAACAAGTGCCAACACAAGATGATTAAGCATTTTGAAATCTAATGAACTGCTTTAACCTTCAGGAAGAATTGTAAAGATGTGTACATAGCACAACATGATCCGGATAATATATATACTGTTCATGTACATCCACAAATACACATTGTACCAAATAATGCTGTCTGTAGTTAGGAATAGAATTGTGTAAATTCTAAAGATTTTAGCAGATTTTTTTTTTTCTTTCCCATTGTTTCCTATGAGTTTTAAAAGCAAACAACAACAACTTGTGAAGCATGTCAGACTAAAACCAGTTAGGATAAAGTTGTTTTTTGGTTTGTTTATTTTTTTCTCCCCCTCCCACTTTAATTTTCCTTTGACCCACTGAGGCTTAATTAAAATTTCTTGCTTATTAAAGTTTAGTATCTTTTTTTTTTTTGATTTTGGAAATGTGCTCTCTTTTATTTCCCCATCAGAACTTAAAATTTTCCTAATTAAACCCTGAAAGGATTTGCTATGAATTACTTGTGTCTTCTTTTATGATGACCTTTGTAGTCTCAAAGGTGCTTTATATTTTTTCCCTTCCCACCCCCCCTTTTTTTTTTTTTTTTAACCCAATTGCTCATACTTCTAGAATTGGGTATAGCAATAAAACTGGCCATGGAGCACCCTTGAGCAGCCTGATAAATTTTTAACTTCCAAGGACTTGAGTTGCTTTCACTTGGAAGTTCAGTTGACTAAGTTAGTCCAAGATAGGAATGAGCTGCTTTTTAGGGGTGAGATTTTTGGTTTGCCTTTTTCATTGCCTGTTTGTGGGGTTGGGGGTGTGTGTGTGAGGCTTGTTTTTTCTCAAGGTTGAGTTCAAGCATGCACATCTGTAGGCTTTCAAATGACTAACTTCTGGGTTTGGTATCAAAAATAGTTTCCCTCCTTTACTCTCTTCTGTGGCCCTTCATCTGCTTTGCCTTCTACTTCAGAGTTTTCCTCACCTAATGTACAAAGAAAATCGCGATGTATATTTTCATGTAATTTGATTTTTGGAATTCTGTCACCTTCTGTAGTGAGTTCTTCCAAAATATAATTTTTTCCAATAATAATGTGTCAAACTGGCTGTGTTGGGTATGGAAATAGGAAGGATACTTGCAGCTGGGGCACAACTTACCTCATCATCCTCAACAACACATCACTGAACACTTGTTGTGTTTCACATCCTGTGGCTTCATCTTGAATAATGAAAGAGCAAACAGCACATGTCCCTTTCTTCCTATTGTAACCATCTTTGCTCTAGTGAGCAAATACTAATCTCAGTAGCTGCTAGCAAGAGTTTTCCAAGCCTTTTGAGCAAAGAAACTATAGAGAAACTTGCAACTCCTTGACTGTTTTATTTTCACAGCACAAGGTAACCTGGTAATGACTCGAGTTCCAGTGGCAGAGTCAGCTGGTGAGAAGCCTTCAGCTCTAACTTGCTGGCTGGACTTTGTTTCATGTTGCTGCACAACATGCATATGCTAAAAGGCACATACTGGGGTTTGGTGAGGGGGCAGGGGTGGAAGGAAGTGACAGTTGCTAGTGGCAGGTCAGCCCCAGCCCTGTGGGGCAAAAAGCCATTCAGTGTGAGATGACTTACGAGGAAAGGTATTGTTTCTTCCTACAGGTGGTTTGGATAAACATAGATGTGTTTAATGTCCACATTTACATATTTAGACACTAATTATTTTGTGAAATCATCAGTTAAATTTGCTTTTAATTGGCCATCCTGCTCCTGTGGGCAGGTGTGTGCAGACCTTCAGAGCTGTTAGTGCCCAGACACTGCTGCTCACCTCAGGTCCTGTTTGACTGCTTGTCCAAAATGGCTAGAGAGGAGGTTTCTTTGCTTTTCCACATCTCTAAGAGTTGGGACTGCACAATTTCAGTCACATGGTCCTGTTCTTTCCATAAACAAAACACTGGGAAGAAGCTACTCTTCCTAAACCCAGCAATGGACTTCTTCCCCCACAGGCTCTCCTTGCTTTTCCCTTTCTGCAGTGTACCTGGAGCTGAGAGCAATTCAAGGTACCTGCTGCTTTCAGCAAGTTCAACACTGTTACCTGTTTTGTCTGCCTAAGTAGCACATAGAGTTCCCCATAAGACTCCCCTGTAACTTAACAAAATAGTTTAAAGCTTTATTTCTCTGGTCTCCTGTTTGTTCCTGAAGAGGTTGGCCTGGAAATGTTAGCCCTGCACCAGTGCTATGGAAGAACTGGTAATTCCACAGCACTGTTGGTTCCCTTCTTTGTAAACTATTCGAATATAAACCCACTTCTTTGTGGGTCTAACCCACGTGGGCTTACCCAGATGGTTTGTGATCCCACATGCCCCAGATCTCCAAAGGAAGAAATGTTGCTGTGGGACACTGTTAGGATGCAGAAGCTGCAGGTATAGCTAATGCTCAGTAACTGAATGAGAGAGGCAGCTCAGGGTCTGGGCCAAGTGTCCAGGTTGTAGGAAGCCTCTGGCAGGCATGGAAAGGACCTGATTCACTTTGCTGTGATCACAGTTGGCTTTTTGTTTGTTCCTGCCCTACACTGACAGGGACACATGTGACAGGCTGTGACTTACACAATCAGATAGGAACACGCCGAGGAGCTGCAGTATGCACAAGAGCTGATTTTCCCCCAGCACACAGGGGCCTGTGGTCCAGATATCACTGCATCACTGGGGGAAAAGGAAAAGCCTTTAATGTAAATAAATATCAAAGTAGCATTACCATCCTAATTCCTTTTTTATATTTCTCCATGCTGCCCCTTGTGCATCAGAGAAGATCTCTAGAAACGAGAAGGGCTGTCAGCTAAAAGTCCTTCCTGTTGTGATGCCTAGAAAACCCTGAAACTGAACAATCAATAAAGAGATCGTGAATTCTGAAGTGATTAGAGGTGTATTTTGGGTTTTGGTAGGCTGATAGGGGGTGGACACCACTGTGTCTGTGCCATCTGGTGCACTGCTCTTGGTACAGTGCCATCACTGCACACAGAGCAGCACCTCCAGTCTCCTTGTTTCTCTGCCTCTTCAGAAGCAGCACAAGTGATTTCAGACCAAACCAAACCAGGAGCTGCTTGGGGTTGAAACAGAGACTCAAATGACAGCTTTCTGCCCAGGCAAATCCTCAGATGAGATTGCTGATTCCCCTGATGCAGAGCACAGCAGTAGTCTGCAACCTGATCTCTGTTGTTACTGAGAACTTAGACTAAATCTGGTCAGGCAGTAATAACTGTTTCCTTGCAGTTACTCAAGTTGATCAATAGCACCATAAGCAATGGTGTAAGTTAGCCACAGAGCAAATTCATACACAATTGTCATGAAGCTGTGCAAAATGAGATGTGTTGTTTCATGGTATGACTAGAAAACTACATGTTATGATGAGAAAGCTACTCCTGTGGCTCTGCCTGGCCCAGTTCTGGCTTTGCTGATTTACCCAACAGGCACAGAAAACAGAGCCAATGCAGAGCAACTTTCAAAGGTCACTTCGTGGCAAAGACAGGATAAAATTATGTCTGTAAAACAACACTGTGCATTAAGTCTTCCAACGTTTAATTGAAATTTGCTCTTTAAAGCAAACCCAAAAACGGCAGTTGGATCAGTGTAGAGTTTCTTGGCATTTCAGCTTCATCTGGGCAGGAGAGATGAGCAACAAGAACAGCCGAGAGTCAGCTGCGTTGTGCACATGGCTGGAAAACGATCCTGTTAGTGCTGCTTGGTCATTGCCTGAAGACTCTCAACCACTTTTCACCCACCATGCAGAGGTCCAGGGGGCACAGATCCAGTGCCCAGGGGTCTCTAAGGGGCACATATCTAGTGTCCAGGGGCTCAGATCCAGTGCCCAGGGGTCTCTAGGGGGCACAGATCTACTGTCCAGGGGCTCAGATCCAGTGCCCAGGGGTCTCTAAGGGGCACATATCTA